GGAGGGGAGGCAGAAAGTATTCGTCGGTGGCATTTCATGGAAAACGACAACGGATTCTCTGCAGTCAGCGTTCTCAAAACTGGGTCCAATACGGAAGGTCGATGTTTATCCCACAAGAGGTTTCGCCATAGTGGAGTTTGAACGGCCCGAGACGGCTGAATTGGTCGTCTCTGCTCATTGGCACACTGTCGACGATAAACGGGTAGAAATACGGCCCTATATACCCAGGAAGAATGCAAAGAAGTCATCAGACAAACCAAAAACTCTGTAAGCGATTCTTTATACCTTCTTGTTTTGTCATCTTCGTGCACGGGTGGAAAGTAATATGGTTCACCTGTCTTAATTTTGGTCACATATTCTTCCATACAATGATATCGTGAACCTACGTAAGTTTGGCTTGAGAAAGCTTCACCCATTCAACTTATTCTCAGGTGTTGGAAACTGAGTCCAGATGTTGGAAGGAGGTTTGTATTTAGAAATTATGTCCACGTCATTTCGGTGGTCACAGTATTCAATTATCTGTGATCAGTGGACATCATTGTGGAGCGATGAATTGAATCTAGTCATAAGTTTGAGGAGTGGAGTAAAGCACATCGGAACAGGAGGGAGTTTCACATGTAACGCTAGTGATGCTCTGGTAGATGCTGATGGATTTCGTTCATCATGTTTACTCTTATGGCGTCCCCAGTACACGACGCTGCATCGTAGTAACTAATGCCCTACAGGTCGTGCATTTCGTGTACCACATGTTTTTGACAGGAGCGTTGACTTAGTATGTGCTCATCTTCGATGAATTACACAGCCACTGAGTCGTTGGCTTGATGTTCTAAAGCCCCTGAACTTCCCTCCCAAATCACTCGATCCATTCAGATGTAGTCCTACTTTGGAGCATGAGAGAAGTCGACTATGCTTCCGCAGGTTGTGAAGGGTACGAGATGTAACCCGTTGTGGTGGCACTAATTTACCCTCTGATTTTACTTTCTGAAGGCGCAGTAATAAATGAATATTACAATGGAGAGCGTAATCAGCGTTGCCAGAGGCCTTGGTTACCGGTATTGAAGACGGTAATTTCGTACTTATCCAGCATAAATCTCCTTTCGCCATGTTGAGTTCAACAAAGAGTCTGGTTAGCTGGTGGACTTTGCAGAAAGCCATGCATGTTTATCGTAAAAGTACCACCCTACTCTATCTCTTTAAATGTAGTGGAGCAGTGAATGGGTGGATTGAATTCCCTCTCCATGTGTATCGTTCGTCAGAATGTCTCGTTTAGGGTGATTTTGTGAAATTGCTTGCTGCTATGAGAAATTTCTTGCGAAAAGGATAAAACTTCTAAGCACTGCTAATAGGAGAATTTCAGTCTTGAAAGAGTTTGTGGAAGTGATGGAGTGGGCGACCATTTCAGTGTTTTCTGACTGATCATTCAGTAATGTTGGTTTTCCACTTTTGTTCAATCACAAACACCAAGCAAGCAAAAAACATAAAGGAGAAGGTGGTACAGGGATGTGCCTTTTCTACCTAACTCAGTGTTTCCTTTCGGAATTTTTCATGGTAATGTGATGCATTTATTTCAATTATAGAATTTTTTTGTCCATCTGCACAGTTAGACGATAGGCAAGATTTGCGGCATGGGATATTTGAAAACATATGAACTTGTGCTTATCGTTGTTCCATTTTTCTTTTTATACATTAGAAGTAGAGTTGCTTCGCCTAGTAGTGCTGTGGAGACTCTGTAAGTCTGTCATCCATTCAGTGCTTATCAGTGAGTCAATTAATCTTGCTGTCGAAAAGTGAAGTTTTGTTACCTGCACGTAGGCGGGTTAGGAGACAAAGAGGTGAGACCGCGCTGCCAGAAGACCATGGAGCCTTGACTACATCACAGTAAAATAAGTAGCGTTAGCCTCCGATCAGATACAGTTTAACATTAGTGCATAGTAGTTAAAGCTGTTATTTCATTTTTTTTGTCTTTTTAAATTCGTCTTCCGCATCTGAAATTGCTGGGTATTAGACTCAGTGCGATACTGTTGTAGAGGCCTTACGGGTGATCAGCCCTTGGAGGACATCTCCTACCGCAAACTCTACGACTCTACATCGCATATTCTCAGCAGTCAAAGACTAGGCCACATACCTGCACCACGTGAAAAGCCTGAAACTGCGTGCGTTTTGAGCCTGCCAAAACTTGACAAATATTTAGAATGAGGTCCTTAAATGTACCTCCCCTGCTTTGTAGTGGCTCTGGTGTTACTTACACCAATGCTGTTAGCGCAATCACCAACGCAAGGAAGTTAATGATGCGGGGAATCGGTGAAGGTACAACTCACGCAGCCCTGAGAGACTACTTCATTAACTATGGAGCAGTTGACCACGCCAGTATCACTGGGACAGAAGCCTGGGTGGTGTTTAAGAATGCCAACACTGTGAATTTAGTTTTGGCTACTCAGCCCCACTTCATTAGAGGTAGGCAACTCTTCCTGAGTAAACCGGATGAGGAGGCAACTTCTTTAGTTGGGTGAGTCGGAAATTTGCCCAACCAAAAGGAATTTATAATGGTTGCTCCTACGTGGATGCAGTGGCAGGCTAGGTGTGCCTAATATTCTGTGTGCAAATGAATTGTGTACCGCTTTGTCTAAATGCCACCATTTATACTACTTTTGATTCTATTGTGAAAAATTCTTTTGACATCGTTCGGTTCCTTCAATTCTTTCGTCAAACAGCTTGCCATATGTAGATAGCATTTTTGGTACCCAGCATTAGCGAGAACTGATGTGGCTTCCACTGCCATTACTGTATTCTGAGCCACGTGTTGGTGGATCTGAACGACGCTTGTCTATCTGCAGAAAAGAGGCGACTTTTACTGGCGCCAAAACTGGTCATCAGCTGGTCGTTGATGGCCTTCCGCCCCTACCGAGAGAGAATGACATTCGCAGCCTCTTTGGCCGATTCGGTACAATCACCGAAGTGAGGGTGGATGAAAATGTGCACAGAGCTTTTGTGGATTTCTCCACTGCAGAGGCGCTGCAAGGGGCATTGGCAGCTACTCCTCCCCGCCTCAAGGGTATGAATCTTCGCGTCTCCTTACCGGAGGATCATGAATACAAGTGCGGAAGTTTTTGAATCTTTGCCGATTTAAAACATGATTTTTGTAAAAGGCCGAGGCCTTAGCAAT